TGTGGGTAGTCTTGGTGCTGTTTCTTCAAGCTTCCTAGTCTTCTGTGTTGTGCCACTGCCTGGTGATCCCATCCGTCGCCCCCTCGCGTCACTCCCTGTCCTTCATGTTGCGTGTCTTCTGGGTCACTGCTCCGCACGGGCCGTGTGTTCTCTGTGTCCTGAGTCTGCTCGTCTCCTGGCTCTGCCACGGTGATGGTGAGCTCTCCCCATTGTGGTGGACCAGTTTCCCTTCCCTGTTGCCACCAGTTTCACGGAGTTGGGAGCTGGTGCCTTTATTCCTGTGTGTTCCCAGGCTTTGTTCTGGGACAGAGTTTGATGCCGTCAGGTTGTGCCTGTCAGCTTTGTTGGTCAGGACCAGAGAGCGCTGACCGGCTCCACGTCCCCACTTGCTGCTGGCAGCTCTCTCCCGGGTTTGCACTGATTGTGCCCTCTGGCCGCGGTCGGCCCCTTCTGCTGCCCTGTCCAGCGTCTTGCAGCACCGCCTCCTTCCCGAAGGTCTGCTGGCCTGCCCACCATCGTCTCTCTCTCTCTCTCTCTCAGCACCAGGGCGGGAGATCTTTCGGGGGGGGCGGGGGCTGTCATGAAGCTCACCTGCGCTGCCCCTCACTCTCTGGTGCTTAGTCACACAGAGTTCCCTGTTAATGGTAGCTTTTGCACACAGGAGCCAGACCCAGTCCCTGTGACTGTCTTATTAGCTCAGCAGGAGGGTCACGTCTCAGTACTTGTGGGTTGGGCTGGGGACTGGACGGAGGTGAAGATTCGGGCTGAGGCTGGCGGGCCTGGACGTGTGTGTGCATATGCCTGCGTGTGTCGCAGTGTTTAGCTGTCGGGCCTTGGGACAGCCTCTCATGGTTGACCCAATGCCTGGTGAGATGTCCACACTCCAGCCTGGGGTTCAGGAGTGTGTTGTGCAGCTGGGGGTCAGGGCTGCCACCCAGGTTGGGCCAGGTCTTGTGTAGATGTGAATCTGTGCTTTGTTTGGTCTTTTATTTGGGACCGGGATGGAGGAGGACAGCATCAGGAATCAGAGCTAAGCTTACTTGGTTTGAAAGGAAACTGGCATTTTCATGGAACGGGCCGTGGGGGCAGCTGGGGGCAGATGAGCAAGACCTGTCCTTGGGAAGTAGAGACCCCACTTCATTACCAGTCCCCTGCTGGCTGTCTACATTTTGATTCATTATATCAGAAATGGTCCTGCTCAGTAACACCCTTATCTTTATGCATATTTTCCTAATTGTTTTCTTGGACAGAATTCCTAGACTTCATATCACATAGCAAATAAGCAAAAATGTGCTTGTTTCTCTCAAGACAAAGACATCAACTACTTTCTTCTTTGGTAGCCCTCCCTGGATTTTGTTTTTCTTCCGTGAGCCGGGAGCCCTGTAGAGAGTCTGCATGGGGTGGCCATTGGGAAGGGGGCCGCTGGGGTGGACACACACAGGCCCATGGGGGTTGCATCCTGGTGACTGGGGCTGTGCCAGGTGGTCGGATGGAGGCACTGGATGGGGGCCACAACCAGCACAGGACTTAGTCCATGGACTGGGTTGGCTGCACCTGCCACGTTGTGCTCACCCATGGGGGCTCCTCCCTGAGCCTGGGCACAGTGCCCCCTTCCCTGTTGCAGCCCAGAGCCCTCCCTGGGTCTGAGGGTGGGGATGGCAGCATCCTCTCCCCTCTGTCTGGTACTTTCAGCTCTCTGCCCAGGCCCTGGTCTGTCGACTGGTTCTGAGTGTCCTGGTTCACGCTCCTGTCCCATCACTTGGCCCAGGCCTGGGCTCACACCCTCAGAGGCCTCCCTGGTCTCAGTGGCCTCCCAGGATGGGTGAGCAGAGGGGTCAAGATCAGGCCGTTGAAGGGTGCCTCCCTGAGCCTCGGTTTCTCCATCTGGAGTGGGGCAGAGGGGTGCTGTGTGGGTCTCAGACCTGTCCTGGTGGTAGGGTAGGATTTCCCTGCCTGGCCCCTAGGTCAGCAGCCTGACTTCGGAAAGGGGCTGTGCTGCTGGGGGTCCCATGCCCACCTCCTCTCTCTGGGCCCCTAGCCAGTACTTCATCTGGGCCCAGGTCCTTCCCTGCCTGTCCCTGCTGGGCCATCAGCCCCACCCAGCTCCTCCCTGCCCCCACCCCCACCTGACCCTTGGCCCTGCAGCCCTGTGTAGCCCTTAGGTGTGCAGTACCCCTCCAGTGGCTCCCGTCCAGCTCCCCCCGTGTCCAGTCATGTCCTTCCCCAATGTCTAGCTCCTGTGCACTTGCACGAGCAGCGTCCCCAGAGGGAGTCCTGCCACAGGGCTCGCCAGCGTTGGCCTCCCTCTTCCAAGTATCTGGTCTCTACACAGGCGTTTGGACAGGCGCACACGAACCACAAGAAGGTGGCTGCGGACGGTGAGAGCCGAGAGGAGAGTCTGATCCAGGAGTCGGCCTCCAAGGAGCAGTACTATGTACGCAAGGTGCTAGAGCTGCAGACGGAGCTGAAGCAGCTACGGAACGTGCTCACCAACACACAGTCGGAGAATGAGCGCCTGGCCTCTGTGGCGCAGGAGCTGAAGGAGGTAACGGTCGCGCCCAGTGGGGAGGGGAGGGCGAGTGTCGAGTGCCCTGTGGGGAGGTGGGAGGCTGCGCTGCTGCCCTCGAGATGGGGTGGGCGAGCGGCAGGGACAGCGGGTGCAGCCCGGAGCCCGTGTGAGCGAGTCCTGGCCATGGCCTCGGGACCCCTGCGTTGTCATCAAGAAGGGCAGGGGGCCCTACTCTCTGCCCTGTGTTTACTTGGGCGGCAGAGATAGGTGACCAGAGGGACAGATGGTTCTGAGTGCCTCACTTCCGATGGGAGGGTACGGAGCAGTCAGGATCCCATAAGGCTGGTTTGGGACAGAGCCCAGGGGCTGGCAGCAGTGGGGAGCAGTCACCCCCCTAGTTGGGGGTCAGAGATCATCAAGGCCTGTGGGTCTGGGAGGAGCTTGGCTTGGATGGGATCACTGTACGGAGCCAGAGTGCATGATTTCACTTCCTCCCACGAGATTACCGGGTTGGGATGGGGGGAGGGGCCGCCGGGGAGGTGGGTTTGAGCTCACCGAGGCGGTCTCAGCCCCGCTGCTTCCAGGCTCATTCCACTCTCCTCCTCCAGAAGGGCTTGTCTGGGCTGTCGGGAAAGCCCCGGTGACCTGCTGACTCCTGGGTTTGGGCGCCAGGAAATGAGCTCAGCCAGTCCCGCGTGAGAGCGGGTTTGGTGGGGCCGGGATTCCTGCTGTTGGTGCTTCAGGAGGAGGCCTGCCGCTCCCCACCCCACGCACCGTCAGCCGTCTCTTTCTCTTAGGGCCCTGCTTCTTGCCCCACAGGTCCCCACCCCCCTGCTCAGACCAGGGGCCCAGCCAGCGTCCCCGCCCTAGTCAGCCCCATCTGTACCCTGTTCCTGAACTCTTCTGCTGGTCCGGCCTCGGATGTGGCCGTCCCCTCTTCTTCTTGAGGCTGGCACCTGAGGCTCAGGCCTGGCTGAGGAGCCTGAACCCCAAGAACACAACGCCAAGCACTGTCCCCAAGAAGTGCGGCCCTATGCCTGCCTTCGTGTGACATGCACTGCAGGGTCACCCCAGGGGACACACCCCTTCCGTGAGGATAGCTGTACCTCCCAGTGCCTGGTCCGGCGGCCGTCCGTGTCCAGTGGTGTGCTGGCTGCACTGTGTCCTCTGACCAGACCCCCCTGTGACAGTCGGCTTAAGTGTGTACCCCCCACGCCAACTTTCCAGGGGCATCGATGGCCTGTCATGTGACCCGTGTAACAGATGTACTCAGCATACGGGACAGCTTCAGCTGCCCCAGAGCTCATCCTTTTGGTGACTCTGTGGGCACCTCACAGGTGGGGAAACGCAAGGAGCATGCCTAGGGTCAAGCTGGCAGCTCTAGGTCCTGATGTCTGACATTGGCACTGTAGTGTGATGGGCCCAGGTAGCGTCTGTTCTGGGACGTGGCCTGGAGCCTCATTTTGCGGATGGAGAAGCAGAGGCCCTGAGAGCTGGGCATGGCCACAGTTGGCTAGAGACAGTCAGGTCTTGTGCACGCACCGAGGCCTTCCAGAGATTCGCTCTGGGAAGCAGGGTGGGGGCTGCCGTGGAGAGGCGGGACTGGGTTGGTGAGGAGGCAGCCTCATCTGCACAGTGGGGCCCTGCCTGGTGATCTTTTTGTCCTGGTGGACCCCATGTGTCTTGGGACCTAGAGTCCCAGCAGAATTCTGTACCCCACCACCTAGGGCAGAAGCCAGGACAGGCTTGATTGCCGCAGTGGTGGTGTCTGGGCTGCCTGGAGCCGGCTAAAGGAAGCCAAGCGTCTGGTCATGAGCTCAGGTGGGTGATGGGTCAGGAGCAGCCTTGCCAGGGGCCAGCAGGGCTCTTCAGTGTGGGGTGGCTCCCAAGCCAGGGGATGGAAGACTGTCTCATGGGCAGACAGCCTGGAGGCAAGAGAAGGGGACATGGGTATGTGGATGAGGCAGGAGGGGTGGAGCCCCACATGGGAGGAGGAACTGGGAGGCCTGAGTGGGTCTTGAGGGAATGGACCCCGTGAGGAAGTGCACATCCCTCCTGGGGAACAGGGCTGGACCTGACTTGCCTAGGGTGTGACATGCAGCCCCCCAGGAGATCAGGGGAGTCGGGGAAGGTGTGTCCACAGAGGGGCAGGTGTTCCCTCGACAGCCTGTGATGGCGGCGGGGGGCGCGGGGGGTGGGGCTCACTCCATCCATCCTTGGCCTCTGCGGTTACACACGGAAAACACCTGCCCAGGCACTTTGGGGGTCCCTGGACATCCAGGAGAAGGTGCCTCCGGGTCCCAGGCAGGCCCACCTGCTGCCCCATCCTACCCCCTTTCAGAGCTGGCCCTTCTCCCGGTGACAGCAGCTGTAGGCACGGGCTTCCTAGGGACTCCAGTAAAGGAGATCCGCCCCGCAGGCTTCTCAGCTGCCATGTGTCCAGCACAGCTTGGAACCTTCCACGTCCCTGCAGAAGCCACAGTGCTTGGCCCATCCCAGGACTCTGGTCAGACCAGCTGCAGTGTCTCCCTTGAGACAGTGGGTCCAGCCTGGGGCGTCGCTTATCACCTCCCTAGAACCCCCTGGGAGAAAGGCAGTGGGAAGTACAGCTGGGGGCCTGGAGGAGAGAACCCCCACCTGAGAGACCCCTTTGTGTCCCTCTGGCTGGCTTGTGTGGTTATCACAGGCCCCTCAGTGAGGCTGATCCCTGGGTGCCCTCTCCTGACACCCCTGCCTGGCTCCTCCTTCCCCCACCAGCCAGAGCTCCTGTGGCCATGGCCCAGGCTGCAGGACCCAGGGCCCAGGGCATCACTACTGCTCTGGAACCTTTCAGGCAGAGAGTCTCCCAGCCACGACTGCTCTTATTTCCTCCCACCCCCCCCCCACATACCTGGGGTGCCTCAGTCCTTCTTGGGGTGGACAGGGAGGGTGGGCAGAGCCCTGGCTGGAAGGACAGACGCCTGGCTCAGCCCTGACCTGCCAGTGCCCCCTGCCTTGACGGCATTTCTCTGTCTGTGTGAGGACAGCCATCTGGTCCAGAGTGAGTCCCGTCTGCGGTTCCTCCGTGGCCTCTGCAGGGCTTCCTCACTGAAGGGGGGTGTCTGTGGGGGCTGAGGCGTGAGTGTGCTGGCTGGCTGGGTTGGGGGCTCTGAGGGGCATGGAGAGGGTTTGCCAACAAGGAACCTGAGGTCTGGGGTCCCCGGGCGTCCACCTTCTCCACCTGGCCTGCACCCTGTTGGGGCAGGAGGTCATGTGCTTGCTGCCTGTGCCCATCATCAGGGCTGCCATCGATGGGCTGCCTGGGAGAAGATGCTTACTTTGGGGAAAACCAAACCACATGGTGGCCCGTTGGAGCTTGTTTAAGCCCTCAGAGTTGGGTGAGTCCTAGGCGAAGGTGCCAGATCTGCTATGGGACCGAAATGCAGGCATTTGGATCCGATAGCATCAGCAGACAGCACCCTCACCTGGCGTCCTGGGCGCACTTGTGAGCTTGGTGCCCCTAACCTTGCCTCCCATGGGACCCCGTGCCCTTTGTCAGCCCGGGTGCTTATGATTGGAGGCTGTGTTGGCATTTCTGGCAACGGAGCAAGGCGAGATGTGACTCCTGGGGACCCACACGGGTCTTCCCATGGGCCTGTTGCCCTGAGTTGGGAAGGTTGAGTCTGTCCCAGCCGCCCCACGGGTCTCTTTCTGCAGTCTGGAGGGTGGGTAGCTGCGGGCTTCAGGCCTTGGCTTCCACCCTGCCCGGTGGCCATGTCAGGTCATGCCACGCATGTGTGGGCAGCTCCTGCACCCCAAGTGAGAGAGGGCAGAGTTGGCAGGGTGTTTCTGGCAGAGGGACGAGCAAGCACTTGCTTGGTGTTCATGGGAAGTGAGGAAGTGTTCTGGGTCTGGGTAACAGTGCACGCTCGGAGCAAGCTGAAGCCAGTGGTGGGTGTGCTCTCCGTGGATGGTCTTACAGGATGTGTTGTATTTCAGTCAAGGACACGGACTGTGTGTGGCTTCAGCTCAGCAGGGGTCCCACGTGCAGCCCGGTGCTCAGGTTCTGGGGTGCAGAGTGTGTGGGAGGCCCAGGGCAGGCAGGCAGGCTGGCCTCCACTCCTCTGCCACCTCCTTTCTGTCCACCTCCGGGGACTTGTTGAGCTTTAAATAAAGCCCATTTGGAAGGACAGGAATGTGTTTTGCTCATGGCCATGCTCTCCGTGTCGCTTCCTGTGTCCTCCCATGCTGAGGGGGGCAATTGCTCCGAGCAGGGGCGTCAGGCCAGGGTGGACTGAGCCACGGGCTGGGGAGGAGCACCCAGCCTGCCGGAGCCACGTGGACATCACGGTTCTTGTAAGTCAGTGACCGTGGTGGTAGTGAGGGCTCTCTAGAGCTGCACACCCGGGGAGGGGGAGAGAGTGGTTTAGGGTAAGGAATTGGCTCATGTGACCGTGAGGGCAGTGGGCCAGTGGCTGGAGACCCAGGGAAGAGCTGATGTTGCAACTGGAGTCTGAAGGGGTCTGGAGGCAGAATTCCTATTTCCGGAGAATTCTAGTCTTTTCTTTAGGACTTTGAACCGATTGGAGGAGGCCCATTATGGAGGGTGCTCTGCTTCACTCAGAGTGTGCTGAATTAAACGTCACTCTCGCCTTTACCCAGCATGGTGACATCTAGGCTGGCGTTTGCCCAAATACCTGGATGTGGGGGCCTCGCCATGTTGACGCTGATGTTAACCGTGACAGTTGGGCGGTAAACAAGGGTGGTGGCCAGCCCTGAGGTTGTGTGTGGAGCTTTGTCAGGGATTTCCAGCTGCCGCTCTGGATCCACAGAAGTGAGTGACTCTGTTTCCTCACGGCGCCACTCGGACTGTGTCATTTTGCTTATTTTTGCCTGTTCAGCAGGAGTTTTGCCTTCCTGGTGAGCCTTGCTTTTTCTCCAGCTGTGTGTTTCTTCTGGTGTCGCTCTTGGCCACCGCCTCGGGTCACTCTGCCGGAGACTCATGTAGTGAGCAATTGTCAGGAGTGCTTGCTACGGAAGGACTCCCCCTTACTGTTGCTTTCATGTTTTCCTTCTTTCTCTGTGGTCCTGTTTCACTTACCAATCCAGTGTTGCCGCCGTGTGCATACCTGCATGGAGTCTTGGGGTCTTGTCTGGGAAGCTCCAGCACAGTGGAGAGGCCACTGTGGGCCTGGGGGCACCAGATGCCACCTGGAGTGTGGAAACTGGGGAACAGGTGGGCCGTAGGCTGTGCAGGGGTCATTTCTGCCCCGCCCCCCGGAGCCGTTGGCCATGTCTGGAGACCGTTCCAGTTGTCACAGTGTGAGAGGGAGCTGCCAAACGTCCTGGAACATACAGGATGGCCCAGAATGTCACAGGGACTGAGGTCGAGGGACCCAGCCAGGTCCTGGCTCAGGGCGCCGGGTGGCAGCTCACACGGGGTCTGCCTGACGCCTGAGTCCTCAGGTAGCAGCTTCACTCAGATAACCCACATCCCTTACAACTCAGTCACTTCACGGGGACATAGGGTTATGCACCGTCCCCAGTCCACTTCTGAATACTCCCATCACACTCCAGAAAGAAACCGTGTCAGGTGCTCATTCCCCCCCACCCCACATTCCGCCCCCTCTGTGTGTGGATTGGCCTGTTGTGAACATTTCCTGTGTGTGGAATCATATGGTGCGTGGCCATGTGTCTAGTTTCTTTGCCTCACGGTAGTGGGTTCAAGGTTCCTTTGCGTTACGGCACGTGGTGGCCTGTCATGTCAATTCTTATGGCTGAACAACACCCATTGTGTGAATGTATCACATGTCATTTATGTGTGTGCCGGTCAGTGGGCTTTGGGTTGTTCCCACATTTGGCTACTGTGACTAGTGCCGTTGCTTCTCGGGGTGCCTGCCGAGGAGGGGCACTGCTGGGTCAGATGGCACTGAGCTGTTCCAGCAGCTGCGGCATGTGCGGGAGGGACTGCTTTTAGCCCATTTTACAGATGAAGGAGCCAGGGATCAGAGCAGGCTAAGACCCTGCACTGTTCACCCCCAGAGCACTCTGCCCGGGCTGTGGCTCCCTCTGGGTGGCCACACCAGGCTCCATGCAGGCCTGGGCTTGGAGTCCCAGCTGCGTGGCCGCCAGCGCTGGTGGGACCAGCTGTGACCAGCTGCCCACACCCACCTTCCTCTCTGCAGATCAACCAGAACGTGGAGACCCAGCGTGGCCGCCTGCGGGATGACATCAAGGAGTATAAGTTCCGAGAGGCCCGCCTGCTGCAGGACTACTCAGAGTTGGAGGAGGAGAACATCAGCCTGCAGAAGCAGGTGTCTGTGCTCAGGCAGAACCAGGCAAGTGTCCAGGCTGCGGCCCCTGCCCCTCGCTTCGCAGTCTCTGTGGTCCACGGGTGTTTCGCCACCTCCTTCCCCACAGCCATGCCCAGGGCCGCACAGCACACTGCTGTGGACTGGGGGGTGGGGTGATAGGGCCCGGCCTCTCCTGGACCACAAGAACGAGGTCTCTGCCTGTAGGATTGGCTGACCGCTGGCCTGGCCAAGGTGTCCCAGTCAGCAAAAGTGGAAAAAAATACAGGTGATGCAGAGGAGACACCCAAACCGCAAGAGGCAGGATGTCCAGCTCCATCCCTCCCACTACCTCAGTGTGCCCACTCCCTTGTCTCTGTGTGGTCCCGGGCCTTGGTGGCCCCCCCCGGGTAGAGCCGATGGGTATTGAAGAGCAGTAGGGAGATGTCCGAGCTCTTATCTCCTGTTCTCAGATAACCCCAACAACAGGCGGGGTGAGAAGGGTCACCTCTGCTGGTGACAGGACGCCCACGTGATACCCCTGGAGGTCTGCACTTGCCGCCTACCTCTCCAGGGGTCACAGCTCTGCAGGCTGGGGACTGGGGGACCTTTTCCCCAGAACCCCAAAGCTCAGCACCCTGGATGTTTAAATCTTGTGTGGGGAGGCCTGGGCCTGTCTGTGTATGCCGACAGCAGGACACGGGCTGCACAGCAGGCCACACAGGGAAACAGGTGGTGGAGTCCAGGCCCCTCCCCGGCCTCCCCTCCCCTGGGCCGTGACTCCTAAAGATCCACTCAGTTCTGCACCGAAGTGGTTTGTTCCTTACTTCTTGCACCAGTATAACAGAATGATAAGTATCTTTAGAAATTTCCCATAGGCCCTGAGCCCCCACTGCAGGCGCCTCCCTCGTCCGTCCGCAGACACGGTTTCAGCCCCTGTGACTCTGGATTATCTTCCCTTCCCGCTGGGGTGCCTCGGGGTCTGGGTGCCGGGAGCGCTGCGACATGTCCCTCCTCCGCGGGAGCAGTTGTGCTTTTGTTTGGAAATAGGATTAGAAGTGATGGGTATCACATACGTGTCGATATGGGTTTTATGTTTCTTAAAATATTTAACTGACTCTTCATGTTCGTTAAATAGCTTTGTAGAATTTACAGCCAGTGTGCGTGTGGTGATGTTTTGAGTGACCTGACCCAGGTGCAGCAGGGGTGTCGTGTCTCTGGCTCTGCTGACAGCAGGTGCACAGGTCCCAGATGTGGGTGTGCACCTCGTGCCCAGAACCCTCGAGCGTCGGCCAACCCCTGCTGTGGCATCCACATGCTGGTGTTTCCCCCTCGCACGGGCACAGCACAGTGTCGCTCTCTTTCCAGGTGGAGTTTGAGGGCCTCAAGCACGAGATCAAGCGTCTGGAGGAGGAGACTGAGTACCTCAACAGCCAGCTGGAGGATGCCATCAGGCTCAAGGAGATCTCTGAGCGGCAGCTGGAGGAGGCGCTGGAGACCCTGAAGACGGAGCGGGAGCAGAAGCTCAGCCTGCGCAAGGAGCTGTCCCACTACATGAGCATCAACGACTCCCTCTACACCAGCCACCTGCACGTCTCCCTGGAGGGTCTCAAGCTCAGCGATGACCCCGAGGCCCTGGCCAACGGCTTCGAGCACGGCGGCCTGGCCAAGCTGCCACTGGACAACAGGACCTCCACACCCTCCAAGGACGGCCTCGCCCCACCCTCCCCCAGCCTGGTGTCCGACCTCCTCAGTGAGCTCAACATCTCCGAGATCCAGAAGCTGAAGCAGCAGCTGATGCAGGTGCGGGCGGCCAGGGTCGTCACAGCCCAGGGGCCTTAGGGCTGTGCGCGCTGTCCCCGCCTCCAGCCCCGCCCCCCACAGTGTTGACCAGATGCCGGGCCTTTGTCGATGTTGTGCACCCCCTCTAGAGTACTAGTGTTTATTGTAAAGTCTACGTTGTTACCCAGAGCGGAGCTGTAGAGCCGCAGGGGAGGTGCCCAGAGAAGGAGGTTCCTGATGATGAGGTGGCAGTTTGGGCTCGCCCCAGGGTTCCCCAGGTTTGCTCGTGCCCTTTCATGGGGTCCACGTGCAGCCTCCCGCGCTGCATCCTGTGGATGCCTCACGTCAGAGTTTCCTGCCCTGGACAGAACAGAGTCCTGGGGTCTGCACCATGACCCATCTCCAAGGAGGGGCCCGCCCAGCTCCGCAAGCCTCCAGGCAGGGAGGGCCCATCGAGGCCCTACACCGGCACCCCCATTGCACACATCACAGACCTGCAGCATGTGACAGCTGGGGCACAGGCAGGGTCACCACTGGGTCTGTCCCGGGGGTCCTGCAGGCTGCTGATGGGCCTCCTGTGCTTTTGCAGATGGAGCGGGAGAAGGTGGGCCTGCTGACAACACTGCAGGACACACAGAAACAGCTGGAGCAGGCGCGGGGAGCCCTGTCGGAGCAGCATGAGGAGGTGAGCCGCCTCACAGAGAACCTCAGCGCTCTGCGGCGCCTGCAAGCCAGCAAGGAACGGCGGACGGCCCTGGACAGTGAGAAGGAGCGTGACAGCCATGAGGACGGTGACTACTACGAGGTGGACATCAATGGGCCTGAGATCTTGGCTTGCAAGTACCGTGTGGCCCTGGCAGAGGCAGGTGAGCTTCGCGAGCAGCTAAAAGCCCTGCGCAGTGAGCATGAGGCTGGCGAGGCCCGGCATGCAGAGGAGAAGGGCCAGCATGAGGCCGAGAGCCAGGCGCTCGCTGAGAAGGTCTCCCTGCTGGAGAAGGCCAGCTGCCAGGACCGCGAGCTGCTGGCCCGGCTGCAGGCGGAGCTGAAGAAGGTGAGTGACGTCGCTGGTGAGACGCAGGGCAGCCTGAGCGTGGCCCAGGATGAGCTGGTGACCTTCAGCGAGGAGCTGGCCAACCTCTACCACCACGTGTGCATGTGCAACAATGAGACGCCCACCCGCGTCGTGCTGGACTACTACCGAGAGGGCCCGGCCGGCACCGGCCACTGCAGCCCTGAGGCCCGTGGGCACCGCTCGCCCGTCCTGCCCAAAGGGCCGCCAGCCACAGAGGGCGGGGCGGGGGACAGCAACCCCTCGCCCAGCCCCTCTCTGCCCTCGCCCCTGAGTGACCCGCGTCGGGAGCCCATGAACATCTATAACCTGATTGCCATCATCCGCGACCAGATCAGGCACCTGCAGGCGGCCGTGGACCGCACCACAGAGCTGTCCCGGCAGCGCCTGGCCTCTCAGGAGCTGGGCCCTGCTGCGGATAAGGACCGGGAGGCGCTCATGGAGGAGATCCTCAAACTGAAGTCACTGCTGAGCACCAAGCGGGAGCAGATCACCACCCTGCGCACGGTGCTCAAGGCCAACAAGCAGGTGTGTGGCCGGGCGGGACTCCTCCCTCCCTGGGCCTCGGATGGGGACCCGCGGAGGCAGGCAGACCCCTCCCTGTGTTTCTCAAGCCCCTGCCCTTTGTGTGTCTGACCCCCAGACAGCCGAGGTGGCCCTGGCCAATCTGAAGAGCAAGTACGAGAATGAGAAGGCCATGGTGACCGAGACCATGATGAAGCTGCGCAACGAGCTGAAGGCCCTCAAGGAGGACGCCGCCACCTTCTCCTCCCTGCGCGCCATGTTCGCCACCAGGTACTGCCCGTGGCTCCTGCCAGTGCAGGCCAGGGGGGTCAGGCCGTGCGGGGGGCTCCACCCCTGCCAGTGGTGAAGGCCCACAGGCTGTTGCGTGCAGTGTCGGCCGCACGCTGCGGGAGGGAGGAGCCTGGCAGCAGAGGCTGAGAGGCCAGGGCCCAGAGGCCAACTGCAGGCACCAGGTTTGAAGGGGGTGCGGGCTGAGGCCAACACCCGGCAGACAGGGAGTTAGCCCCCCAGAACTCAGAAGGAAGTTTGTAGATTCACAAGGAAGGTTGCCTGCCCAGCAGTGGCGGGGCCCTGGGGTGCCCCGTCTGACCTGCCCATCGGGGATTAAGCTGGGGAGGGCAGCCAGCTGTGGACATGGGCATTCAGACGCCTCCACCAGGAAGGCAGAGCAGGAGGCTGCTCGGGGGGCCTGGTTTCAGGTGTTTGCACTACCCAGAGAGGCTGGTGTTGGGCAGACACCAGGGACGGGACCTCGGTGGTCCAGGCGGGTTCTTCTTGAGGGCAGGGAGGCAGAGGCTGTGGGTTAGATGGGGCTGGAACCCGGATCAGGGTCTGCTACTTCTCATGCTGTCGGAGAGGGGCAAAGACAAGGAAAGAAAGTTCCAGCCTTCCCTGAAGGCTCCCTGGCCTCCTGGCGAAGAGTTTGGGAAAGACCCCACAATCACTCCATCACCATGTGGGTGGTGTGGTGACCCTCACTTCCGCAACCTGTTCCACTTAAGAACTTGGCTTCTCAAATGCAGCTGAGAGCACAAACTTGTGGTTGGGCCCTTGGCCCCCAGAGAGGGAGGCCCGGGGTGGGTGGAGGGGAGGGACAGGCGTGCCCACCGCTGCCTCCCTCAGGGACACACCTGGAGGGGGTGTTTCTCTCCCAGCTCCACAGACAGAGGGGGCACAGGGCACAGTTAAGCAGAGGACTGAGGGGTCACGTCCACACGTGCCTTTCCCAGACTCTGGTTGGCCATTTGGTGCCTTACTAAGCATCCACTATGTGCACACACCACTCCGGAAACAAGCCAAGTCCTGCCTGTGGGTTTACCTCTGAGGGCCAGGTGCCCCTCGGCCATCTGGAGGCCCGCACGGCCGCTGCCACCTCCCTTAGTGGAAGCCAGCTGGGGAGCCCTTCCCAGAGGAAGCTGAACCGCCGAGGGGCAGCCGCCACCTTCCAGCCCAGCGAGCAGGACGCCGCTGAGTCCTCTTGGCCTCTGCCCGCCGGCCAGGCCCTGCAGGCGGGTCCTCAGCCACGGGTGCCGTGTGCTGTGCCGGCTGCTTCAGCCGCACTCTCGCCTCTGATGTCCCCGCAGGTGTGACGAGTACATCACGCAGCTGGACGAGATGCAGCGGCAGCTGGCCGCCGCAGAGGACGAGAAGAAGACGCTCAACTCCCTGCTGCGCATGGCCATCCAACAGAAGCTAGCGCTCACCCAGCGGCTGGAGCTGCTCGAGCTGGACCACGAGCAGACCCGGCGGGGCCGCGCCAAGGCCGCCTCCAAGGCCAAGCCGGGCACCCCGAGCGTAAGTCACACCTGCGCCTGTGCCGGCGACAGGGCCGAGGGCGCCGGGCTCACCACCCAGGTGCTCTGCGGTGAGAAGTATAACATCTACTGCGATTAGGGCCACGGGGCCTCAGCTGCAGCGGCCCTGCGGCACGCCACCTGCCCGCTTCACCTGCACTAACCCAGCAGCAGTGGGACTGCGGTGCTAGGCTGCTCTTAACCGTGACTAATGCACAGAGGGAAGGATTTGGCCGAGGCGGCGTGCTGTTCCACCTGGACCCTGTGAGCTCTGTGTCTGTTCTCACCCCTCGGGACCGCCCCTCACAGCAGCTACTCTGGGGGGGGGGGGGTGTCAAGGTGGGTCAGAGCCACATGTCCTTGCACACACGTGGTTCCCAGTGTGCTGTTGGCTCCTGCAGAGGGTGGGGGATGGGGCAGAACCCGAGCTGAACTTGCATGTCCCTGCATGTGTCTGATGAGGTGGCGCCGCCCCAGCACCGGAAACAGTGTTAGAGGTTCTGGCCCGAGCGCCAGGCACAGCGTCAGAGGCCGTGCAGAGCTTGGCATAGTTTACAGAGGATTCCTTTGCGGTTTATGTGGCATCTCACTGCACATCACATTTGGGACACAATTCCCTCCCCCACGCCTAGAAGAATAGTAGCCCCAAGCCCTGCGTCCTCCGGCCCGGGCACAGGGCACTGCTCGTGGGGCACAGAGCTTAGCAGTCTCAGCCTCTCTTTCTGAGGCTGCACACCTGTCTGCTGACCTGTGAGGTGACACGTTGGCAGGCCCAAGGCCTGGGTTTTTTTCGTGAGAAAAACTTAAGTGCCTGGCCAGACCCTTTCCTCACAGGAAGCCCATCCTTTTGTACTTAGGGTGTCCCAGCCTTCAGGGCAGGTTTCTTCACTCTGTGCTCATCATCAGACCCCCCAGAACAGGGCTCTGGAAACCCCCAGCAGATGAGCTGAAACAAGGGACTCCCACATCTGCAGCCAGAGCCCAGCCTAGGGTGGGGAGGGAGCCCCGCATGGCCTTGGGCCTGTTCCAGGACACGCGCAGGACACGGATGGTTCCCCCTCGTCGGTGTGGTTCCAGATGTGGGACAGGCAGCAAAGGGAGCTGTAGGACTTCCCGTTCCCAGAGCTGGCAGCCACAGGCCACTTGAGGCCCCATGTTCAGAAGCAGGACTTTGCAGTATTTCTCTCCCTGTTGCCCGTGGGGGCTGCCAGACACGAGGCTTCTGTCTTTTCCCTGAAGGGCTCCTTGCCTGATCTCTCCGTGGCCCAGAGGGGGTTTGCGTTGCCCCTCATACAGCTCTCACCTTGGTTCCCAAGCGCGTCTCGGTCCCCACCAGACTCCAGGCACTGCACAGACTGCCTTGGGTTTGGCAGACAACTGGAGTGGGGAGAGGTGGACCAGGCCACACCAGCCCCCAGCTCCAGGCTGCCTTGCTGATGGGCTGTCGGGTCTCGGATCCCCCTCCCCTCCTGAGGAGGGGTCAGGCCGTCCCCTCTGCAAGCAGGTCTTCCAGGGGCATGGCTGCCCGCCAGCCCCGCACGCCGCTTCCGCCCGCCACCGAGCCTGGCACGCAGCTTCTCTCCATACTTGCAGGGGTCTTCCTGAGGCACTGGGGCTGGTGGCCCCCCCTAACACATGCAGGTCTTCTCTGCCGCCGACTAACGCACCACATCCTCACCCAGCCAGAGCTTCGGTTGTCTGAGTGGTGCCGGTTCTAATGCTGTCTTGTTTTCTCCCGTTTTCAGCTGTAGAGTAGCTGCCGGGAGGACTCGGCCGTGGCCCTGTCACACTGCAGCCCCTCCCCCTCCCGTGGGCCCACGCAGAGGAAGGAAGGGCAGCCTAAAAGTCCACTTAGAAACGTGTTTGGATATGCCACTGCATTTCTTTCCAAGTTAGCATTCCCTGAGTGTTTAGTGGCAGAGGCAAGAAAGCTTTAATGTTGAGAATGCCACCAGCTGCTGCCTGGAAGGCCCTTTGCACAGCGCCGAAGAACCTGCCTGGACAGCGGCCACCAGGCTCGCTCAGAAACCCGCTAGAAACGCTCGACACCGGGCCTCCCTGCTACAGATGCCCTTTCTTATCCGATCAACCTGTGCACTTTTGATATTTTGATATTATATTTGCTTCCTTAATCCCTCCCATAGAGACGGTCTCAGATGCTGTGGTCTGTCTCGTGGTTCTGTAGTTCTGTCTTAGCTCCCGCCGTGTTGATCTGACGTCGGCACGTGGCACAGATGTGTTTTCCTAGCGTGTAGCTCTAGACTGTTTAGATGAAGGCCTCGACCCGGCAAGGAGCTCAGCGAGACGTATCCACGCTGTGGTTCAGCAGCCTTTTAGGTCATACGGCATTACGGTTCATGTTTGAAATTACAGATTTTAAATGCCATGTTCATTAAGAAATCCAGGGTATTTCCGATTCTGGGGTTTTTCATATCGTATTATTATTATTCTTAGGAATAGTTCAATGTAACAAGAAGAAAACTTGACCTTTGCTCTGGTTAAACAGTAATAGGCACTTGAAAACAAAAAGATAAATTATTGAGTGAGTAGTATTACCTACAAATTCCAGAATCTTCTGGGTTTTAGGACATTGTGAAGCATGACTGATTAACAGAATTTTATACAACTGTACCAGTGAAATTCCAAATTGGAATTGTTTTGTTACTCTGGTTGTTGTGCCAAATTGTGGTACACTTAGAAAATCCTACAGTCGTCGATTTTTAGGGTGTTCTATTTCAACGCCTTCTTGTTAGTAATCATTACCAGTAGTGCCTTCATCAGTTAAGGGAGGTGTCCCAGCGTAGTTGATGCTCTAAAATGGACGGTGAAGAGCTAGTTGGGAATGCTGAAGGCCAGGGTAGACCAATAGGTGTGAACGGGCGCACACCTTCATACCTGAACCTGGGCATCTTCATTGAGGGAAAGAAAACAGCAATTGTGCAAAATTCTGTTAGTCAGTGATTCTTTACCATGCAGATCCTTGCAAATTCAGGGGCTGAGAAAAGGAAAGTGAACACACACACGTTGAGTGTGCTTTGGGAACCAAATGGACCTGAGGGACAAGCTAAGCAAGCGGTGCGAACAACATGCCACGTTTGTGAAGAGCGGGAGGCAGGGTGCCGGTGCAGTCGGCCTCGTGCGGTGGGGTGAGGGCTAGCCATAGTATTCTTTGCAAATGTGAGGAAGAGACGTTCTATATTCTCTTGCTTGGTGTAACTAATCACTGTTAATTTCAGGAAACAGAACTCGACAAAGCCCCTCAGCAATCCAGGGCTGTGTCTTGTCCGGTTTGCTGAGGGAGGCTGTGCTTATGGTAAAATTGGTACTCACAGAGGAAGAAAGTGTCCTCTCTCCTCCAAAATAAAGGACAAATTACAATAATGTATAAGTAGCAAGAATAAAAGAATTCTGTTTCCTGGAATAAGCATTTCTTATTCCTAGTTGTAGGGACCCCTATTTTTACCTTATATTACAGTGTTGATTCATAAGAAATGTTACATTTACGATAACTTCATCTGTATGGGGTATTTATTTGCAATGATGTCTGAGTACTGTATTTTTTTCTGTGCATTACCTTAGTGTCAGAATGTTGTCTTTATTTTAAGATCATATGCATGTTCTCCTGCCAAGGAACCTTTACACAGACCCAAACAGACAAACAAAAAATGCCTTCCGATTCTGAGAAAATGAGGCAGAGCGTGGAAAAGGAGTAGGAAGGAGCAATCAGTCTCAACTTGGGACATGGGCGTATGGCACGAATGTCTGCAAAGCCAGTGCACATAGGAACAGTGGGCCTGGTAAAGGTCATGTTGGTAGGACCAATAAATAAAGAATAATACAAAAGCACAAGACTTGTCCTCTGTGGCTGCTCTGACCCCTGCTCCAGGTGACCGTGGGTCCAGGAGTGTATCATAATTCCAGTTCCTAAAACAACAAAACCAGCCTGGCAGTAACTCTGGTGGTAGGAACTGGAAGCAGCCTGGGGCCCATTTCAGGAGGTGCAGACGGGAGGGGAGGTGTGGGCTGCCTCTGGCAATGGGCCTCAGGTGTCGTGAGCACCCAGTAGTGTGACAATGAGAGCACGTTGCCTTCATACTGTCCTCTCTCAAGAAGCAGAGATTTGGCTAATGTGGGGGTCCTTTGCTGTTCAGACTCTTGCTCTGTGAACTCAGGGATGAATAGATTCAGGTAACAAGAGTTACCTGTTTTGTCAGTGCAAAGCCACATTCACCTGTAGGAATGTCTGTGAGACATGCTGAGCTTGTCCTGGTGTGAGCTTAGGGGCAAATGCTGGCCTAGGGGACAGGAGGTCCTGAGGACGCTCTGGCACTGTTCCTTCTGACAGCCTCAGGCCGGAGGGACTGCCTAAACCTCAGGGCAGCTGTCTGAGGCCAGGGTCTGGCCTCTTCCCAGGACACCTCCCTCCACCCAAGGTCTCCCCTTGCCTTGTGGTCGCTGCAGGGCTCCTTCCTCTCATGATGCCTGTCTGGCTTGAGTAGTGGTTGCTGGAGCCCATGTTCAGCTTGAAACCTCTTTGAAAGAGACTTATTTTTCTAACTCAGTAGCTAAAAGGAATCTTCCTCCCCTGCTGGCCTGTGCCACCACACCAGGCCCCTGGAAGAGGTGGAAAAGACAGCCCGTGACAGATCCGGAGGAGGAGGGGATGCTGTCAGTGGGCTGGGCAGGGCAGGTGCCATCCAGCCCTTGGCTGCCACCATGTGAGTGGCGCATTGTGGCTCTGGCCCAGTGTCATCATTTGGGGTGTTTGACTCACAAGCACAGATGCTGAGGCCTTCTCTACCCGCCAGCATGCTCTGGGTTCTTGCATACATGGTTCTTCATTTCAGGCATGGAGTGGGAGTCTCCTGAATGGAGGGAGAGGGGGCGGTCATTTGGCCCTGAAATGCCTCCTGCTTGGCCTTCCCTTCCAAGAGGGAATGCCTCCATTCCCACCTCCTCCTCCATCTGCCTGCAGTGGTTTTCACTCCAACCCCTTACAGGTTCCCAGAGCTGGAAACAACAGCGTCAGTTTGAAGATAGACGTTTGGTTGAATTTCCCCCTTTCAGCGGTTCACTTACCCTGACTGAGTTCTCTCTGAGCCTCAGTTTCCCCGCTGTAGGTTAGGGATGATAGTTCTTGACTCAGAGGTTGTGAAGTTTTATGAAATATAGAATGAACTAAGCCCAAAGCAACCAGAGGAAAGGAAATGGTAAGGATTAGAGTGGAGATAATGAAATAAGCAGTGGGAGGAAATGGAGAAAATCAACAAAACCAAAAGTTGTTTCTTTGAAAAGATCAGCAAAACGACTGACCCTTACACCAGGGAAAAAGGACATTACTAAAAGAAGTGAAAATGGGAAAATTACTTCTGATTTTACAGAAATATAAAGGATTACAATAAAGTACTATGAATATTTATACACCAAGAAATTAGATAACGTAAACCCGAATGCATCAGAGAGAAGGAAACAGTAAATAGAGCAGAGATGAGTGAATAGAAAAATCAATAGAAAAAAATGAAAGCAAAATTTCTTTCCTAGGAAAGATCGACAAATTGACAAACCTTTAGCCAGACTGAAGAACAGGGAAAACTCAAATTACCTCAGTGATGAGGGTGGGGATATTACGCGCTGACATGAATAAAAAGGATTATGAGATACTATAACAATGCTAACAAATAACCTTGGTGAATTGACAGGTCACTTGAATCACACCAACTACAAAAGCTGACTCCAGAGAAAATAAAAGACATATAATGAGAAATTGAATCAGTACTCAAAAATCTTCCAACAGAACCTCTAGTTTCTGGTCCAACTTGTAAGGAGCTTAGAAGTCATCACTTTGTCCTAATAGGTGAAAACCTGAACAAACTAAAAAACCAACCACCCTTCTTGGATCTGTCAGAGAAGTGAGGTCACAGGGCACACCACTGTCCCTAAAATTAGACGGATACAGAGAATTACAATTTACCAGAGCAGTTAAAACCTGGGCAGGAAAACCTGAACTGTAATTGGCAGGTTGCTGAAAGCTCAGTGTAGTGAGAAGTCTGGGAGGGGCCAGTCGTAGGGGACCCTCACGCTTATGTGAGTTTTACCTCCAGCAGCTCTACGGGATTCTCACTGAATATCAGAGAAAAGTCCCTTCAGCCTTCTATCCAGCGGCAGAAGGGGAAAAGGAGCCATTTTGAAATATCCTAGAGTATTCTGCTCTTAACCAGCCCTCCTCTCAGGACAAACTATTTTACCATGGCCTGAGAGACCTGGGGGAAGGGAAATACCCAACTCCAGTCCCCTCTGGCCATACTTTACTACTTGAAGGGGTGAAAAGAAGAAAAAAAAAACTGAAGCACTTGTGAAGTTCAGAGCCCAGGGGCACAGGTGCTCTAATCGCAGACCTAGTTGTAGGCCTATAGAATCCTTCCTCTTCCGGGCACCTTACCAGTATATTACTAAGGCCTATTTACTGTGGTTCCCTTTCCCTAGTACATCGCCGTCTGGCTTTCAACAAAAAAGCATAATAAAATGGAAAAAAAAAAAACAAACCCAAAACCAAACACACTCTATAAAGATAGAGTATCAGAACCAGATTCAGATATAGCAGAAATATTGGAAGTATCAGACCAGGAATTTAAAATAACTTTGACTAATATTGAGGGCAGTAATGGAAAAAGTAGACACCATGTAGAAACAGATGGGTAATATAAGCAGAGAGATGGAATGATCTAAGAAAGATTTTAAAAATTCTGGAAATAAACCACTGTGACAGTAATATAGAAAGCCTTTGATGAGCTCATTAATAGATTGGACACAGCCGAGGAATCACTGAGCTTTGGGATATGTCAGTACAAATGTCCAAAACTGAAGAGCAAAGAGAAAAAAAAGAATGGAAAAAAACAAAACGTAAAAGAATATCACTGTGGGACAACAACAAAAGGTGTATTATATGCACAGAGGAACACCAGCAGGAAAAGAGAAGGAAGAGAAGCAATGTTTGAACCGACAGAATTTCCCCAAATTGTTGAACACCAAACTACAGATCCAAGCTCAGAGGACATTGAGGAGGACAATACCAAAATAAAATTACACCTAGGCACATGATATTCAAACTACAGAAAATCAAATATAAAGAACCTTAAAAGAAGCCAGAGAGGTTGGGGCGGGGGGTTGGGGGAGTTTTATCTGTAGTGAGTGAAAGATAAGAGTTAGATCTGACTTCTTAGAAACCATGCAAGCAAGAAGAGTGGGGCAAAATATTTAGGGAGAGAGAGTGAAAAGACCAACCTATAATTCTGTATCCTGTGAAATTATCTTTGAAAAATAAGACATAAAGACTTGCTCAGACAAAAATTGAGGGAGTTTGTTGCCAGTACACCTTCCTTGCAATCAATGTAAAAGTTTCAGAAGGAAGGAAAATTATATAAGTCAGAAACTCAGATCTACATAAAGAAAGGAAGATTGTTAGAGTAGGGATAAATAAAGGTAAAGTAAAAATCCCCTTGTACTTCTTGTTAATTGATCTAATAAGTTTGTTCAAAATAATATTAGTAATTTTTTATGATTACAGCATATGCATGAGTGAGATGAAAGCAGTGCTACAAGGGACAGGAGGTAAGAATTAGGAATATTTTGTTATAAGGTACTTGCACTAATTGAGAAGTGGCATGGTGTTATTTGAAAGTGGACTTGCATAGGAGCGCCTGGGTGGCTCAGTTGGTTAAGCATCTGACTCTTTATTTCGGCTCAGCTTATGATCTCAGGGTTGTGAGATTGAGCCCCGCATCAGGCTCCATGCTGGGCATGGGGCCTGCTTAAGATTCTCTATCCCTCCCCGCTTCCCCTCCTAAAAAAAAGGAAAGAAGGTGCAGTCAGTTAATTGTAAATATATTTTGCAAACTGTTGGGCAACAACTAAAAAAAATTTAAAAGCATAACTGATAACATGCTAAGAAGACAAAAACTGGAACAAAGAACAAGGGCAATGATTAAGAGTCAGTGGTCTAAATACACCAATTAAAAGGCTGTCAGAGTGGATCAATAAACAAAGACCTTAACTGTATGCTGTCTGCAAGAAACCCATTTTAAATACACAGACACATAAAAGCAAAGGGATGGAGAAAGATATGCCATCCTAACACTAATCCAAAGAAAGTGGGTGTAGCTATATTAATTTCAGACAGGGCAAACTTCAGAGCACAGAAAGTTAAAGGATAAAGATGGGTTTTATACAAGGACAGAGGGATCAGTTCTCCAAGAATATAACAATCCTTAACATGTACTCCCCTAACAACAGGGCGTCTGACTATGTGAGGCAAAAGCTGGTAGAATTGCAGGAAGAACTTGAGAAATCCACTATTACAGTTGGAGATTTGAATACCACTCTCTCAGAAATGGACAGATCCGATAGGCATAAAATCAATAAGGACGTAGTTGAACTCAACAGCACCGTCAACTGCTTATAATTGGCAACTGTAGACAACGTCATCCACCAACCTCCTTCTGAAGCTCACATGGAACATTTACCAAGATGACTTCCATTCTGGTCCCCAGAACACATTAACACATTTAAAAGAATAGAAATCATGCAATGTATGCTCTCAGAACACAATGAAATTCAACTAGATTCAATAATAAAAGATAGTTGGAAAATCCCCAAATACATGGGGATTTGCAATAGACTGCATATGTCCTCCAAAATTCGTCTGTCAAAACTTAATCCTGAAGGGGGCAGTATTGGGAGGTGTGGCCTTTGAGAAGTGAGAACATCATGAGGGTGGATTCCTGATGAGTCAGATTAGTGCTTTATAAAAGAGGGCCGAGGGAGCTCACTTCTTGCTGTGTCCTCAGTGG